AGCTTTTTGCTTTTTTGGTAGTACTGTCTTCAATGAGGTTGTCGCGACAGCACGCAAAAGGTCACCCCAAGCATTGTAGTGGCCACTGAACTACCCCGAAGGGACGTTTTTGAAGGGTTGACAGTAGGTCATTACTACCTTAAAGCGTACTTAAGTGAAGGTGACCTTTAATAATCAGTTAACTCTCTCCGAACTAAGTTTTGGAACAGTTGATTGGTGCTATCGTCTACCTTCCAGTAGCTTTGGCTACGTTTAAAGTTTTTTATTTTTCATATCGTGCTTATTGGCAGTTCTTTATTTCTTTGTTTCGAGTTTATTATTTTGTAAGTTTCGGTTTGTTGGTTAACTGGTTCTTTATAATTCATCGTTTAATATAACTCTTTTGCATTGTACCTCGTTAGTCAAGACTCGTGACCTACGTTAGAAGCGTCTTATTACTATTGTTAATCTGAATATCTCAAATATTCTTTGGGTTGTAATATACTCCAAGGATTTGAGCAATAAAGAGTTATATAAAATTTTAGTGTAAACATCGCGAAACCAACATTCTTACATCTAACATCTAGTCCTCTAAAATTAGGTTGGCACTGTAGGCGTTGGCAACTACAATTGCCTACAGTAGGAAACTATAGAGCTCAGTAATGTCTAGACATCAGATTACAAGTGTTGTGATCAGAAAGTTACGTGATTTTCAAACAGTAAAGTGTTAGAGTATTTTGATATATATATCTCAGATAGATTTCTAGTGGTAAGGAGAAATTAATGTTCCTCATTAGTAAGACGTGAACATGAACGTCCGTTAATCATACTTGAAATTACATCAAAGAACTAGAAATATTCTTTCAGAACGCGAAGCTATTCTGTTCAAAATAATAGTTTTTGGATTTTATTACCGGAACTGTAAAATATCTTTTTCCATATACAGTGCAAAAACTATCATTCACCAGTGGTCTTTATACAACGTTGACTATGTCGGATTTTTTACTGTTTTTAAACTAGAAGTTTAAAAGTACCTACTGTTTAGCACTACTAATTTGCTTCGCGTCTTTAACAATTTTAGAATGCCAAGTCGTATCAAGGAATTCACTGTTTTGCATATTGCTCCTTTAGATTTTTCGTCAAAGGGATTTCGGCATTTTCCGATGCAATATACTAGTCACTTCCCACTATCATATTTTTCTTCTCATTTTCTCTGCGGTGCATGAGTCAAGAGGTGGTACCATGATAAGCAGAGCAGGACTTGCGGCTTAGAATGGTTTATAAGAAGCAGTCTTGATGGATTTAAACTTAGACAGCCCAAAATCCAGTCCTCTGCTGAAAAAATTAAAAACAAAGTTTCCCAACCACTTGCCAACCTTTTTCGTAAAATGCGCTGAGATTTGCTTGAATGTTCATCCTTTTTGTCTAATACATCCTCCTGTCTGTGAAGGAGGAAGATTTTTTTAGGTGAGAAGTTTAATATTTTATTTTAACCCCTACTTTTCAGCATTGCGAAGGGGATCCTCCTCAAGACTGTCGCTCCAGCCCACAACGTCAAAGTTACAAGTTACTCTCTGTTCTGAACTAGCGTAGCTTTGTCTGGATAAACTTTTAACCAGATCTTATAGTAGTTATTAGCTCGCTTTAAGTTGGTTATTTTTACTGGTGAGAACATAAAAAATGAAGTGCCGAACTTGACAGTATGAAGTCAAATTCCATTTGGGTTTCCTTTTTTTTTTTTTTCCAAAAATACGTGACGATCAGTTTTGTGGCAGCTGACAGCGGTATCTCGTTAAACCCTGAAGTATGCCAAAAGATATACTTCCATTTGTAAACACTTCAACAACTACTGTACTCCGTGATTTTTGCTGGTAAATCCTGCTATTTTTCTGGTCAGACTTCTGCTAAAATGCTTCATGATCCCCTTCAATTTTTAAAAAAAGTGAAGACTCATGCTCTTGCTCCTTATAACATTTCTTTGTCCCTTGGATGAATTCACTGTCCTTACGGATTCCTGCAATTTCGCATATTTTTAAATTCTGCATTAAAATTTCAGCGCGACAAGAGCGGTTGAAAAAAGAACAATGAGGTACATTTTTTAAGACAAGTTGCATTACATACATATAAATATAGAAATTTTTTTTTGAAGTTGCATCGTAAGTACATATCCCTCTAGATAGACGGCAGAATTTGGAGGTAAAGACTTGGAAAAGTATGACGGAGTTGGTGACCACTTCCTAAGTTTTTTAATTAAATTTTGGCGAAAACCAAATTTGAATGTCAAAGGCCAAACAGTCGTTGATATCATGTGAAGTACGTTCTTTATTTGCACATTTATTTGAGCTAGTAAACAGTCATGGTCTTTTGTCTTCTACTTTAAATGACTGTTTTTAATTACGGCTGTAACCTCTGCTACCATCCACAAGCATAGTAAAATGAAGAATTGCAGGACCATCAACGTTACAAATATCCTCTAAAACCTATTTAGAAAATGCTTTTCATAGAAAAAAAGCAGGACAAGCAAAAAATTAAAAACGAAACAACGTATTAAAGCCCTCTAGAAGACAAACTTGCAGCAGATACTAAAAGGGAACATTAAGCACATAAAAGCACAGAAGTTCAAAGTAAGGATTTCATTGTTTAGCCTTATTGAGATAGAAAAATCCGCTCTCCAATTTTTCATCAACAATCTCCAATTGATTTGGGACGTCCAGAAATGTACTACTTTTTAATTAGACTTAAAACTCGTTTTCCGATCAGTGGATGTAAAATATTCGTCTTTTGAACTTCATAAAAAAATCTATTTCTGGATTGAAACAGAAAAGAATGGGGCTAAAATCTAGTCGGTTTCCTAGAAGATACGTAAGGAAGAACAGCAGAACATGAAAACTAAGGTGTCGCAATTAAAAACAAATGAATTCAGCAGCACCAAGCATCGTATAAGACATGTTCATGAGTCCTCTATTTAGTAATCCGGAAGTAGAGTGCTATCGGTTAGGTGACAACCGTCTGGAGTTGTGCCAAAAAATGGTTCCAGTCGTCTTGGGAACCGCAGATGAGGTTTGGAAACAATGCCGCGAAGGAAATGCATGCATCTTTTTTCCATATTTATAGTTCACACTCCCGATTTTCGATCTTCTTGAGAATTCTCTTTTTCTGAGTTGCCACTCTGTTGTCCTCTAAAACTTCAGTGATGTCTGCATTAGTTAGGCACTTAGGCACCTTCTTAGAGTCAAATTTCCAAAAATTTTCAGTCAGTAAAGGTTTAATTCTAATTTCTTTTGGTTGACGATGTATTAGTGTCAGAAAAAAGACAAGGTTGCACTCTTATTAGTTCGAATAAACTTTGGTCGCCAAATGTGCAAAAAAAAAAAAACCCACTTGAAGAAAATAATAAATGTTTGTATTCTGGTGGTCATCGTTGTTAATTTTTGGTGGAAATATTTAAGGGACTTTTAAAATGTTTATTTATTTGTCGGCAGCTTCACCGGCAGTCTTTTGAGACTTGTTTGCTTTTTCATATAAAACTTCTATTACCAGCAACTTTTTGCGTAACATTTTTGCGTAATACTCTAAGCGAACATTTCTGAGACACATAGGGTTTATGGCGTCATAAAATGAAGTAATACAGGGAAATGTGGGTGTTCATGAAAATTAAAGTAGAGTTACGAGTAAAGCCTTTATGCCAATCTTCCGCAACATTTTTTTAGCCCATTATTCCCTTCCAGCGAAGAATTTTTGTCATTGTTGGTTTGATAGATCGCTTTCGCTTGCAGTTCTTTCAGTGTCCGCTTCTTGATTCACCTGCACCTTCATTAACCTAAAAAATTTAGTGTAACTTTCAGAACCATAATTAGATCTCACATTGTTTAATTGTCGTTCGAAGCTTTTACTGACTCGCTGTTCTCTTCATCCACTTTGCTCACTTTCATCGGCTTTGTTGATAAGCATTACTTTCAGCAGTTTTCTGAGTTGTTGAGATTTTTTCTACGTATGGTGCGTTGCGCATTAAACTATTGTTAACCATTTAGTGGTGATTCTATTAATGTTGTTGGCACTTTTGCAGTTTTAAGTATTTGTTTTAAAAGAATTGCTACGTATTTCCTTTATATTTTTTATATAGGATTTTTTATTCGTTCCTAGTACTATTTAACTGTTCTTAGCTCAGAGTAATGCATATGTTTTATCGTCAGAGTTCCGGGACCTATTTTAATGGCACTTTTACAAGACTTTGTTGTGTACTTTTTCTGACGATATGTGACGTGATAGGTACAAGCTAAGTCACGCAGCTGTGAATTCGAGGGTCTTGAGAGTTCAAATTCATTATTGGAAAGAAGATTTCAGTATATTCCTGGTATATCTTCGGAAATGTTGACTTTCGCTCACTTCAGTTCTGTAAAATTTTTAGGATTCTGTATACTGTATTTATGTTTTTAGACAGAACTAAACATTTTTTTTACCTTTCGATGAATAATATATTTCTTTTTGCTTATAAAACGCAGAATTTATTGTAGAGAAGATTGATTTTGAGCTACTCAACGTACAAAATAATTGGTTTTTTATGAGCAATTGACTCCAAGGATTACCGTGATTTTGAATGAAATTTTATTAACTTAAATCAATTTTTTCTTGTGTAGCACATTAAAAGATATTATGTTTTGGGGTTTCGATGGTATTATTCGTATTGTTTCTCTGTTATATTTTTAGCAGGAGGAATATACTTCAAGAGTGTGAGTATTAAATATTTCAGAATTGCATCCGTACGAGTTTTTGCAGTAAAAAAATAAAAAAAGACTGAAAATTGGTGACTCTCGTAAGGTTTTCAGTGGAACTTTTTGGTAAATCGGCAAAGTCTTCAAAAGACATCTTGTTTTAACAGCTGCAATTTAATATTTGGTTTTGAGATTATAACGTGACCAGTATATTGGAGGTGTCACCAGTTTTTTTATTAGTTGCTTGATGCTTCGTTTTTTTTTACCAATTGAAATATAATGGCAAATGATCTGAGGTTTTAGGGCGGTATGCATAACGTGTGGTCCAGGGCAAATGCGGTTTTTGCATTCTTTCTGTCAGTTCTATCAGCCATGACTTTTGCAGTCTTCTTAAGTACGGTTTATTTACCTAATACTGCTAATGTCACCTTGTCGGCTGATAATGTACGAGTGTGAGTGTCTTCAAATTATTAATTTTTTGGAGTTAAATCTTATAGCAATTAGCTTTTTTGGTATGCTATTGAGAAATCACTGAATCTTATAACTGTTTAAAAATCTGTTGCCTATCAGGAAGTTTTGTACTTTTAGAAAAGATATGGTAGATTATGCATCTAGTGGTCGCAGTGATGTTGCAAAAATGGATTTGAGCGTGCAAGTGGACCTTTCGAGAATTTTCAACTGGAACGTCAAACAGATATTTCTTTATCTAGTTGCTGAATATAGTACCCCCACAAACAGAGTTAATCAGGTCATCCCACCCATCGAATTTTTCGTCTAAAGAAAATTTTAGATTGATTAAGAATGAAGAAGTCACCCAACTAAGTTATAGGTAGCTTTTTAGGTAGTACTGTGGGATAAGATAGTTAGGCGACAGGATTGGCAGTCTGTCCGAGAAATTCACGTAGTGCCTAAATACTACCTAATGGACGACGGAAATCATTTGTTAAACCACCCAAACACTACTTTGGTTTTAAGATGGAACGTGGTACCAAATGCAGGATATTTAGCTCTTGCTCAGGGCGAGGGACAGTACACCATTAAATTCCCTCCGACATACTATAGCGGCCGTTTTTAGATCGTTGAGCTTTCGTCAACGCATGCAAATGTCAGTTAAATGTTTTCTGAAGTATTATTGTCATTTTTGTTGTATTTAGATGTTCGGTTCTGTGCCGTTAAGGACAAACTCTGGAATGTTGAATCCTTCCTAAGTTATTGTTATGCATATTTTCGCTTGTTTCCTTGCTTAGAAAATTTGACTTTTGTTCCTTTTTTCGTTCTGCTTCAACTTCGCTAATTCGTCAACATCGTCATTTGAGGGAACCTTGAAAGTTAATTCCGGGAATTTCATTCATTTGGAAAAACAGTCTTGATTTTAAGGGTGGTAAATTCGTTGTTTAACCGAAATTTATGAATGCAGTAGATAACTGTTATAGAAGTATGGCGACATAAAAGGTATTTGATTATATTTTTGCTCGTCCTGAGCAGCTTTGACGCACGCTATCCTCATATATTTTTGAAGCGGTAATTTTAAGCTTCTTTACCCGAAAGTTGAGGTTTCTTAAGAAAAACTTATACAGCGAGTTCCACTAATTACGGTCTATGCGTAGCGGGCGGCTGAGTCTAATCCTCCAGCAGAGAACGATTTCAGCCGTCGAAATCGGCATAAGTTAGGTTTCCTGGCTGGTTGTCATTTGTTTCTTCTTAGACATCCAGCCCACTTGTGTGTGTCAGGGCCTTCAAGGAGTCACTGCCCTCGTCACATGTTTCCTGTGCTGCGGAAGCGTTGGTACTGCTAGTGTTAAAATTTTGAGATACTTGTCATGTTTCCTTTAATAGAAAATGAGATGAACGGGTTATTTCACGCCAAACCAGACACTTCAGTTGACATTTCCTTTAGGGTGATAAGCAGTAAGTGCAGTCCTCTGACTGAAAAAGTTAGAGGTTTATTTGAAAGAGTGGACTCCTTGTTAAAGTGTGAGAAATTTTTGAGTTTTTGTGGTTTCGTGCGCACTTCAAAATCAAGTACCCTTACATATCTTTAACAGTTCAGAGCTTAAGGCCGTTTACTCAATTCAATGAGCAGAAAGTGGGGATAATAGAAATCAAACTTTGTATTATTAATTCATTTCCAAGCAACAGAAGGAAAAACACAGAATTAAAAAGAAAAGAAAACTTCTGCCGGAAAAATTTTAAAACCCACAGTTTTGCTCATTCAAGTGACTGAAACAAACATTTTACCAGAACTCCACACCTGAACAGGTCTTGGCAAATGTACCTCTGTTGTGCTTGCTCCCAGCTGAATCGGCCACCTGTAATGGTTTAATGGTGACTAAAGGTACCGACCAGAAGTGTATGATTTTACATGGGAAGACTCAGATGCAGTTAGGAGCATAAACTTTAATATTATCATTGCTGTACTTATGCGTAAATCACATGATTTGTAATTTTAACACCAGATAGCGTAAACAAAGTTAAAAACGCCTCTTCACAGTTTTTTGCCAAGTTATAGCAGCCAAACCCGTCAAAATTAGACTTGTCGGAAAATAATATGTCGTCTACGCAATTTACTGCTGAACTGTGGTTGCCAACATCATTCCGCTTCTAGAAGTAATTGAACACCACTTTGTCACACAACCTCTCGGACCAGTCGAACATTTATCAGCTACGATTTCTTTTCAAAAAGAATCTAAAAAAACTATTGAACAGCAGTCCTTTAAACTTTACAGAAAATAAAATTTATAAAAAGCAAATTTCCTGCTCAAATTACTGGGAATCAGTTGGCAAACAGCAGTATTAAACTGACGCCCTACAGAGATTCAAAATCTTTCCAATAGCAAAAATAAGGATGGTCCCAGCATAAATTTCTACCATAAACATTAAGGAAGTCCTATAACGATACCAAAAAGACTCATTCTACGTATCATTTGTGTCTTACAGTTAATAAATGAAGAAATTTTGGCGAAAACAGTGCTAATCTGATGACCCTGCTCACCTCCGCAAAAGGGATCTGACTCCCGAGGCTGCTCTACAACGTTTTAAATAAATGATGCACTTGAGAGAGAGAGTATAGAGAAAATATATATAACGCATGTACGATGATAACAGCACACATCATCGTCACAGCAATAGCAACAACAAAAATGGGAAATTCAGGGATAATAACATAACCGTCGCAATAATGACAGAAATAAACACGGCGGTGGTGGTAACAGCAACAGTAAGAATTGAAAGATGGCAATAACAGTAACAATGTAATAGTAATAATAGAATAATAATAATGGTAATAATAATAATAATAATAA